CATAACATTGTCTATTGTGGGCTGAAATAGTCCGGATGATACACATAAACCGGTGGAGAAAATTGTACTGGAACAGTCCTCATTGTCTATTGATTTTTGTTCATGAATGCGAATTTGGATGCACGATCGACTCCTGTGGGACTTGATGGATATCTCCGATCATACCGCATGGCTATCAGAGTATAGGTCATAGGATAGGTGCATATTTTGATTCAGCAAAGATTCCAGTTGCGAGCACCTTACAATGTTCGCAAACGTAAGCGCTCTGTTTCAGCTTGTATTGTGATGTTTCCAGTCTTTGAGTAATATATGTAACGACACCACGTCGAACAACGTGTCGAAGTGAAACAAAGTTTCGTGAATTTAGGCAACGACCTTTTGATAACATAGTCAAACCACAACACTTGCCACCGGTACAGGGAAGCGAGAATTGTTTTTGCGTCTTAGGACCTCTTCGTTGAAAAACCCCTCCTACCAGTGTACTTTTGTTATGTAATGAGTTATCTTATGTTCTCCCCCCCCCACTTGCTCATTTTTTGCAGCCTTATACTGAGATTCTGAGAGTCGCGGCGCCCTGAACGTACACTTTAGTTTAATTTCTTACTCGGTAGCAATTACACAATCAGTGTTTTCGTAGACTAATATGTATTCTGACGTTACTAATGCCAATGTAGATTTAGTCTTTAATCTACCGTTTTGGTAAAATGGTGAATCCAAAGTATTTGAATAGAGGTGCCCATTGGACAGCTAACCTACCAAATAATACAGGGGATGCTGGAAGGTCGGCCACAGAGAGAAGAATATCACTTTTCTGGAAGTGTTAGTTTGACGAAACGTTTCGTCCAACGGAGTACGCACCCTAAATTAACGGGTTTTTTCTTGCACTACAATGTCGTTGACGAAATCAATGTTATCAATCCGTGGATTTGGACCAAATTGTGACCCATGAAAGCCATCAAAGATTGTCACCAGCATCCGGTGGATGATGTAGTTGAGCAGTATCAGTGAAAGCTGCCATCCACGACGAACTTCACACATCTCAGTCCAAATTCGTTTGGCCCCGCTCCATAAGAACCCGCATCGATAAATGGTACAACTTCAGGGGGCTGCTGATTTTTGTCCTCATTCTGTGGGCGCGTAGTGCAGACCTCAGTGGATCTTTGTCCTTGAAGTCAAATGAGGAAGTGTGGGAGTTATGTAAGCGGTCGTCGGTTTCTGGATTTTGGCGTGGACTCCTAAAATCTTATTGAGTTTGAAAATTCGGTTTATATACTTTCGGTAAAAGCATCATAGAGTTGAGCAACAACATTGGTTATGTTAATCCACCCTCGGGTTTCTCTAAGCTGTTCTGTAGCCTGTCTCACAATCGAAGCGCCTCGGTTTCTTGGTTTGTCAAATAATTGGAAGCAACTTATTGTTGAGTTGAACTCACGCCTGAAGGTCCTTTGAAACGTTGTACACCGAATGCTTCATTGGATGAGCCCGCATCAATCAGTTTAATCCTTTCACATTTGATCAACCAATCAACACTAACAATTATCATTCAGTTATCAATGAAAACAGCATAAGACCTGCCTTATATTGCTGGAATCCGTCACACGGAGTCTAAAACTATGCTTCGCGACCCAGTACCATTATGCGATGAACATTGGTCTTCACTTTTACCATTAAAACAATGATCTCACTAGGTTTTGAATGCAATACTTTGTTTTCTCATTCAAATAAGAATAATGGCCATTTCTCTTGCACTACGAGTGGGTGACAACGATAACAGCATTTTTACTATTGTGAATGAACGTTTTATCTAGAATGATTTCTTATTTTTTGTTTGTTTTCTGCGGTTTCTGGTGTTTGTGCCCGTATGCACCAGTCTGAATCCATTTTGTACCATTAACCCACCTGAAGTATTGAAACTCGTCGACGATTATGAAGCAGTCCATATGATGGTGTTTTCCACATTTAGAAATTCTTTTGAACGTCAACATCCAGATGACCCTTGGTATTCTCCAAANGCACACCAGATTTAGGCTTCTACAGATCCGCATTTCTCATTAGTATTCTGCTCATTCCCGTTACTGGAAATCCGAGGGTTCTAGGGACTAATGAGCGCTGTTTTTCATCTGTTTACCTAAAATAATAACTAAGTATTAAAAACTATTATATTTGTTATAATCGGTTCGTTAAGCAATGTTACATATGAACCAACACAGGTGTACTCTAACAGTGATTCATCCAATTTTCAATTAGTTGTACATCATTTCATTAACTTGTTCTTTTAGCTATGCAAACAAATACTCTCACAAACCTGTGGGAAATTATTCTGAATGTCTATGATCCGAGGACTGAAACTATTTCACTTGAAGCCGTTTGATAAGCGCAGTTCCTTCTATGAATTATGACAAGAACCGGGTTCTCATTTTTCGCTTAGCTTACTGTTGAAACATTTCTATAAAATAGGAATAAAAATAATTTAAAGTTTGCTTCGGG